TATGTTCCAGTACAGCTGGACATTTAAGAAATATTTATTATTAAAGATATAATTTTTCTCATCAAAATAATTTTTTTCTTCACTTTTCTGTGTTCACAATAAAGAAGAAACTTTACTTAACAGAAATAAAATAAAAATTTCGATTATTAATTAATAATCAATGTTAATAATAATAAAATATTTACATAAAATATCAAATATTAGCACATATGGATATCCGATATCCGAGGAATTTGTTTTTTTTTAAATGATAAAAATTGATTCTTTTTGACAATATAAAATATCATTTGCTTTTAGTAAAATTAAATCAATCTAAATTATTTTACTGATATAATCTCATCGTCTCGTACATCAGCTTATTGTACTAATTATAACTCTTACTACTCTTTAATTAAATATCGCGCATTGATTTTTAATTCTTTTTGTAGGTAAATATAATTAACTAAAATGTTTTAAAACATTATTTTTAGATTTGATATTTGTAAATATTAAATAATAATTGTTAATGTATGACTAGATAATGATCAGCTACTACATAGGACACCTTTTATTTGTATTTTAATCTAAAGAAAGAGCACCACAAGTTTTAAAATAAAAATTAAAAATTTTTGTAATTATTTTACGCTAGATACTAAGATATGTCAATTGTCAAATTGCATCACAGTCTTCCTTCAAAGTGACGATATAACTGAATGAAATATTGAACCATATCGAAAAGAGGGTAACAAAAACGTGTTTACGGAAACACAATGAACTAACGAGTAAATTATAGAGCTAGTTGCGCGATTGTCGAGCAAAAGAATCGCTCGTCCGTGCAGATCGGCTCGTCAGATAACTTTCAATACGATTAATGCAATACGGCTTTTTACGAAGCATCGCAGCGTAGCGTTGAATCTATTGTGTTCTAGAATAACTACGATCTCGACGGCAAATTGTCCAGGCAGAATCCATCGAAATTTTTGCGATGGATATCACTTAAGCTTTAAATTGAAGAATAGTGGCAAACTCGAGACTACTTTTGTACGTTTGTTTCGATGTCAAAAATTTTTAAATAAAAAAAAAATTTATTATATTTATAATATAATATGTTGTATATATTAGCAAGGTAGAATATTTTGCTTCAACAGATAATTCGTATTTTGTTTAGCGAGAATTAAGCGGACAAAAAGTATCTAATTTTGCAAAGTTAGAGTAATTAATTATAACAGAAAAATTTGATTGTGTTTTCACATCAAATGTGATTCGCGTATAACACAGTAACGGTTTATTTCAACGGAAGGATTCTTTTCTTCCATATGGAAATATTGTACAATATATGTATTATATCTTTGAATAATTGATAATAAAATTTGCATAAGGCTCACAGACTGCGCTTCTGAATGTTACACCATGAGCGAAAAAGTGCACGTATCGTTTAGAAGTGCGTACTGACTCACGCGTAATCTCATATTTCCGTAAACTATATTTTTTATCGAATTTCAATGGGCCACGATACATGCATCCCTCGACGCATAAAAGCGTGCAACGAAAAATCCGCTTATATCGTTGCTCTGTGTCTGTATTAAGTGACACTTGTTCGCGTATTTCGCAAAAATATCATCTACCTAAAGCGATAACGAAGTAGCACATTTCATTTTACCACATAAAACAAACATGGTACGAAATATGTATATGGCACGGAATTTTTTATGCCAATTCTTATGCCAATTGAATTATTTTTGCTCTCATTTAGGAAATTACTTTTGCTTTTTTGAAATTATTTTTTATTTTAAAAACAATTATAATTAAAATCTCAATTTACAGTATTATTAAGATCAATTTTTAAGATAACATCTATTTAAAATATCTATTTAACTATTAAGTGTCTGTATAATAATGTTTTGAAAATAGAGTGTTAAAATTATGGCAAATTTAATAAGTATTTTAATGTAAAAATTATATTCGTCAAATTTCTAATAAGTTTTATATTATTAGGCCACACAAGCGCGCGTTATTTTTTCCCCGATTTAGTATAATAATTAACATTTTTACTTTTTTTAAAACACATCTATTTTTTGTATAATAACAAAGATGCAAGCTGTCACACAGCTGTCAAACAACTGTCAAAATACAAGCTGTCAAATGTAATCGTCACGATGACACATAATAATGTGCAACATGAATCGACCAATTAGTAACGCGGAAAAGAGACCTCAAAAGTAAATAACATGCCTTTTTTAATTAAAGAAGAGCTATAAAAAAGGGAAAACACAATAAATTTACATTAAAAGAGTTTTTAAGAGAAGCAAAAGTTATATAAAAATAAATAAATAAATAAATAAATTACTTGCATCATAAAATAGATTTTACAAATTTCACAGTAAAAGAATAGATTTTATAGATTTTATCATTTTTAAGATAAAAATACGGAAATACAAAAATTTATACTAAAACAATTTTTTCTTTGATTGTTTAGTTGTTACGTACTTTAAGCCTCCGATGTTTTATTATAAACTCAAATCGTTGATTTCAAGAAAATGTTCACGAGAATATTGCAGAATTATGTAATCGTGTAATTGTATTTACCGTTGCGTCGCATCGCCGGATCTCGAGCAACCCGATATTAGCGTACGCTTAGCGGTTTTCGTGACGTAGCATACATGTGACATCGTAATGTATTCACAGGAACCCGCGTGCGTGTATCATAATAATCACAAATCTGACGTTTCTTTTGAATAGTATTCTTTGAGAGACATAGGGCGACAAAAAAAGCGGAACAGTCCATGTTCGATTATATGCGTGCCTAGCTGAAAGATCCAAGAGACATGGCACGTTTCCACAAGCAACGAGCGATATCTCGAGAATAGCATCTGTCACTAGTAGAATTGTTCGCGATATATTTTTTAACTGTATTTGCGCAGTTATACTGGCATATAAAATTTGACATTTTGCTTTATTGTCTGCGCAAAAAGAATGATTTTTGTAGTTCTTTTATACACTAAATTTAACCTAGCATCATGATTTTGAGAAAATCAAAGAAAAATATGCTTTAAATGACAATTTCCGCCAAATATTTACAATCTATTCTAATAAAAATAAATTTTCTCTTCAGTAACTATCACTGAATTTTAAAGCATTAATATAATTAATATAATAAAGCATAAATATACTAATTTTTCCTCTTAAAATAAATAAAATTAAAAAAAGCAGTATAAAAAGGAAGTAAATTACCTCCATGTGATACACTTTATATAGCGTTAAGTAGAATTAATGTTATAAACAGTCTAAACAGTTTTAGTAAACTAATGACAAATCTGAAAATCTTATACATATACATATAAAACGTGTAAAATAATTAAATATATATATTATGTATTAATGAAAATAAACATTATTTATGTAGCAAAGAAAATGTTACGATTTTTTGAGAGATGCCTAAACAACCTAGCCTATTTCTAATATAAAACGCTCCTGAGCCAGAGCTATCGGCAGCTCGGTCGCCAGCGGCCGGGCAGTAGTGGGGGAACAGGAGGCGTCGTCTCGGGAATCGGCCCGAAATGTGCAACTAATTCCGAGCTCTAATGTATAACATCAAATACACATTTTTCTGTCATGCGTGTTGTTCGATTTATGAAATAAATATTTTAAAAAATTTGAAGACATATTGTTAAATCAGTACTTATATTTGAATGATAGACGAAGATGTAAATTACTGTAAACCATAATATTGCAAATTAACTTTGCAATACTGTGTAATATTATGTAAATTAGTTAGAATATTTCTAAATTTCTGTCACATAAAAGATACATGTAGACTATTAAACCATCAATATTTATATAGCATCAATATTTCGATACTAATCAAAAAACAAAAATTGTGATCAAATTTCAATAGCTTTTGTGTCATAAGCGCAGTTGAAAATAACAGGCTTGCCAGTAAATTAAATTTTAGAAGATGAAAAATAAATAATAAACTTTCTCATGTCTGATCTTTATAAATTTAACCTTGCAATTAGTAAAATTTCAGTTAAAATTTTATTCATTATGGTATTCATGTGAAAAAATAAGATCGTAAGGCAACGATAAAAATGACACTTGATAAAAATTAAAGAATTAATTAAATTAAAAACATAATCAGTTAATATAGTAGGCATTAGTTTGACAACTGTATATATATACATACAGAACACTTTGATATCTCCTGCATTTTTCGCTCGGATTATAGTAAATGCTAGATTTCACCGACGTACAAATTCGTTATTTCACTCGACCTGGTAATCTGGCGTTAAATTTTTTTTGAGCCACGTGAAACGCGACGAGCACGTGATTATGTGCTCAACGCGAGCAATTTTATCGTTCTATCGGAGCGACACTCGGAGCGATCCCTCGGAAATACCAAATGACATAACAAAATAAATGCAAAATCGCTTCGAGCGATTGAGTGGACTCTCGAAGCGAAATATGATGCGGATACGAGGATTTATGCGGCTTCCGTGATATTTCTCATTTAAAGTCATTTTATTTCGGATTAGTTGACATGACATTTTCGTCAAGTACGTACTAACATTGTTTTTAAACTGCCGGAAGAATCTGAAGAAGCGACGGCAGCTCGATGACAAATGCATAAGATTTACATATACAGTATGTCTGAAAAATAACGGGATTAATTTTGTTTTTATTTTTCATGTAAGCGCCATCTACTGACAACTAGTGGTGTTTTGAAGCTTCATGTTTACTTATCTAAACATAACGTCAGTAGACGATGCTTATATACAAAAAGTTAAAAATTAAAAAATAAATCCCATTATTTTTTAGACATACTGCATATAAATTTGGCATCCAATTCTATTGCATTATTACCGAACACGAATAGTTTAGGACATAATTTTTTTAGTAGAAAATATTCCAAAATTATTAATTTTAAGTTCAAATATGTATATCAAAATTCTTGTAAAAATATTGTATAAATTTAATTATTTTTATATATTATTACAGTTTAAATACTGTATTTGTACAATTACCTGATTTTGAGCGTTTTGCTCGGCCATAGCTTTCTCCTTAGCTTGCCTCTTGCATTTGTACCGGTGATTTTGGAACCATATCTTCACCTGCACATATATACAAACGCACAATTAAAATTTTATTGGGTGCCTATTAATATCGCAATCTGTATTTTTATGTTAAATATTATTATTCTATGAGATCCAAAGGTAAGCACAATATTTCAACTTCTCTTAAATTACCTCGCGCAACTTTAAATAGGACAATAAATTAATATTGTGCAAGACAAAATATATAAGTATAACTGTCTTTTCTTACAATTGCTACTGTCTCTATCTCTTAAATTTTTATCAGAAATACATCTGAAAGACGTCCAAAAAATGTCATTTTTCTTTTAGATGTCTTTTAGACATCTTTTAAAAGTCTTTGAGACATGCATGTTGTCTGGAATTTTATTCAGCAAAATACAAGTTTATTTTCCACAAAAATTAGTAAAAATATATTATTGTATATCATTTGCATTTTAATAAGTACAATAAGCATATTCAAAAAATAAAAATGTAAACAAAAATAAAATTGTATAATAAAAATATTATACAATGTAAAATAATAATCTAAATCAAATGATAATCAAGGTTGAAAGAAGTAAAATTCATATACACTCACATATCTTATATCCAGAGTTGGTATATATTTGTGACCAGTAGGAGATTTAATTTCAGCATTTTCTTTTATTCACAGCACTGCTATAACGAAACTACAGCGAAACGATGAAGGAAGCTTTGGGCCGAAGAGTTGCAGAAACGCGCAGATCTTTAACAATTGAACGTGGCAGCCGAAGCCACACGCAGGCTCACTCATAAACAGCACGGTAGAAATAAAATAAGGACTAGTCTTATTTCTACCATCACTGGTCATAAAGGAAATGCGCACACAACCGAGAACTACGTACATGTGTCATATACATATACGCAGTTTTCGATTGTATGCACATTTCCTCCATGACTGAGCTCGTGGGGCCGCTGTACACTTCTGGCTTTGGCTGCAGCGTTCAATTGTTACATGCTTGACAAGATCTGCGCGTTTCGGTTGATTCTTGCATGAAATGTTTCCGTGATTTCGACGTAACTATGGCAACATTGCTTTTTATCTCGTAGATAAAGATAATTTTTGTGAAATTGGCGCTCAAGCTATATTCTAAAGCGGGAAGAATTAATTTTTACTATGGTATGCAAACAATAAAATAACGCAATTTTACACTTTCTTGTAGTAAAAATTTACTCAATATATATTTTTTACTTTTCTTTGCAATACTAACTTTTATCCAGCAAGCTTCTGCTTTGTAATATCAAAATTTTTACTACGAGAAAGTGTAAAATTGCGTTATTTTGTTGTTTTTAAAATAATATAGCTATAGCATTTAAACTTATAATCCCTTGATATCCGCAGCTACTGCCACATTATAGTAATTTTTTATATAAAATTTTTTCCGTGTATTTATTTCGAATATCTGCCCGAAATCTAGGCACGATAAGTTTACCTTGGTTATGCAAAAAAATATTGCAGTATTTACTGACAAATTTGACAAAAAAGAAACATTGTTAGCCAGATTTTTCACATACAGTATATATACGTATAAAATTCTAATTTCATTCGGATTTAGTGATCAGCTTGAAAGTTATTCGTTTAAAACTACTGTAAAATATGATTATTTGCACTACATAAAACGTTCACGATTTGATAATAGCTCGCTATTTTGTTGTTTCTTGCAGTTAATTTTATTATCCAAAAGTCCCCCTTCTTTCCTCTTTAAACATCGACTAAAAAGAAAATAGAAATCATATAAACATTTTCTTTAGTTAAAACTCGTTAAAAACATTAAAACACATGTTTATATATATATACTAGTGTAAATAACTCTGCATAGTTCTCTATATAATTTTGGCAAATCTGTTTATTTGATGTTTTGATATTAAATATCCAAAAGTAAGAAAATCTTGTAGAGTGCAAATTGCAGGTGCGGTGTACAGCGGAAATAAAATGCACGATGTGCCTGAAGACATTCCACAAATAGTTTTGTGGAGCAAAGCGTAAAAGTGGCAGCATTGATTCGCTCTTGCGTCGAAATAAAACGGATGATATGTTCCATGTGCTACCTATCGCCAGGTAAGCCCTCGAATGTTTTTTCAGAGAGACATGGGCAAGGGTCTTTGTCGGATGCATTTTAAACCTCCGGTTATTCCCTATTCGATTCTCTAAGTCCATAATCCACGGTTAAAAGTTCGTGTTATTTCTACGAGGGAAATTTAACGCCTTGTTCATTTCACTCGAACGTTCAATGCTAAAGAAGACAATATGAATTTCACGTTTCTGACAAAATTGCTGAGAATCTCGCTTTATTATGCATTTTATGCGAATATTGTTTCATTACTTGTACGAAAAACGACAGTAATCAATTGAACAGATAGTTTCAACTTTTATTTCACAATAATTGTATATTTTGCAACTTTTTTTTAAGATAATATTTTTTTAAACTAACCCTTTTTTAGCGCAGATGTTGAAAGAGGTATAATATTCTTTAGAACGATATTTCATTTATCAATGTTTACGCTTCCTCATTTCATTAAAACACAAATGTAGATAGTAATAATAAAATAAAATTGCTACTATATATTTTTAAATCTATGGAGTAAACTGATTGCGAGGCCATTTTGATCACAGATCAGAGACGGATCGTATATCTTTTTTTTAAACTACACATTTTTAATTTTAGATTACAAATCTTTATATTAATTAATTAAAAATTTATTTCTTTTTTAAATTTAAAATAAGTAGCAAAGTAAATAAGCTAATAAAAGTACTTCTTTGTTTAACATGTTTTTAGAACAATAAAATCGACAATAAAGCATATTCAGCTATAATAATAATAAACTAGTTTTCATGTTCTGTCTTTTATTTCAATTAGAATGATCTCGTAACTTTAACTTTTAGTTATAAAATATAAGAAATATATTATCCGATTTTTATTCGATTAAACAAAGATTGAAAAAGCATCAAATCGATCAGTAAAACGCAGTGTACTGTTATCTCGGCAATGAACAACAATGCAGATGTAGCTGCCTTTGCAAAATGTACATAATACATATATCGCGGATTATAACACGCTTCTGTCATAAGCAGATGTCGATCTCGATTCTATCCAAGTGGCTGCACGCTTTCTCGATCACTCAGCTCAATTGCCGTGAAAGCCGTCTTAAGCGACCCTAATCGCACGCGATTGCATCGCTACCTACTGAAAACTCAAAAACTACCGCGGCACCTTTCCTTTTCCTTTTTCCTTTTCTAGATTGACTAGATTAAAAAAGAAGTTCAGCGCGACCGATTTCCGCGGTCATAGCAGCTAAACTATACCAAATTTTTCTCGCCAACCGTAACATCCCGAGAAAAAATAGTATAATATAATCAGATGTAAATATATATAATTAGTTATGAAAAGATGTGATAAGATGTGTAATATTTTATATAATCATATAAAATTACATATGTTATTAGATCTTTTCGTAACTAATTATATATATTTATATCTGACCAATTATACCATTTTTTTCTCGGGATGTTAGTTATTTCTTTAATTTAATTCCTTATTAAAATTCAATTTTTTTAAACTCCTAACAAGTACTATAAAATAAATTATAAATGCCATAATATAAAAAATGACTGCTGTAATCAATAATATAATGAAAAAAATTGTTTATTTATTTATTAAATGCTAATAAACTTTATGACAAAAAAATGTTTTGAAATACAAATACACGCGCACGCATATGTGTGTATAATTGCATTGAAAAAGAGTAAGATAGTTTGTTATTTTAAGTATAATTTAAAAATAGAATGTTAGAAACATGATATTATTATGCAGTAACTAAATGTATTCTTGTACATAAAATAACACGATTAAAATCATTCTTTTTTCTATATTATATATCAAGAGAGTAACCAACTAGCCGATTGCGATCAATCACGATGTGTTTTTTGACAAATCATCATATTTCGACTTTTCCTTTGTTTAAATTCCATTATAAAATTTATGTTTGTAATTTCAATATTTATTTTGTTCCTATTAATTTGCTTATATATTGACACTTGTAGTTTGTCTATTGATACGTTTAATAAACATTGAAATCAGAATCTAATTTTGTATTTTTTTCCATACATGGCTAGGTCGCTCTACTAAAAAAAAAAAAAAAAAAGTTTGCATGTACAAAAAGGTTGGGCAGCGTTGTTATATATATACAATATAAATTTGAGATTGTAAACATGTACAATACATATATTCTCATTTTTTAAACGTCTTTTCTATTAAAATTGCAAATAAATTTCTATCTCGTATTATACATCGTTAACACACATGTAAACATGTAAGCCTTTTTGTACATGCAAGCTACTTTTTTTAAGTAAAGCGACCTCGCGATTTAGCAATTTACGGAAAAAAATACAAAATTAGAATCTAATTTCAATGTTTACTAAACACACATATTAAAATGCTGGCAAAACTGGTAACAATTTTTTAGATCGTATCATTTACTCTGAATGTCTGTTTAAAATTCAAGCATAAATGATTAATTCAAAAGTTATTTAACTTTTTGTTTATATTCTTATAAAAAAATTGTGTACAGTGTTTATTGACAAGTTTGGCAAAAAAAGCATTTTTACGCAAATTAATGTTTCATATACATTAACAAAACTAGCAATATTCGTGTAAAATTTTATTCAGATTTATTAAGCTCAGTTTCATAGAATTTGAACGATATTTATCAAAAAAAAATTGCAATAAAACTTGAGCATATTAAGCACAGTACGCAATTTATTCTGGCATTCGCAATTCGGTAATTATTCCTTATTTTATTTCTTGCTATTGTTAGTTATAAGAAATATTTACATCAAAAATCTCTCTCTCTCTGTGTTTATCATTGAGTAAGAAAAAAATTAATATTAATCGTAAACATTTTCTCGAATAAGTCATGTTCATAATATTATTTAATGCTTCACTATAAACAAAAAAAAATATATTGTTTTGAAATTTCAAGGATTGAGTTAATATTTAGTT